CACTATGGACTCATTTCACTTCTCAGAACATGCAGCAGTGGATTCTTAAATAAGGCATTCGATGGAACTTTCACCTTTGTCATGAGCCTTGGGCTCCTATGGTGCCATAATGGCTTACTTTACATTATTCACGATAAATGACAGGAAACATGCTACATTTTAGTCATCAACCAAATATCAGGGATGAATTGTAACAGACTGATGGCATGTTTTGATGCAGGAGGTTTAAACCACATAAACCTTAGTAGGAACCCTCAGCTTAAGCCCACCTCCTAACTGCAATAAAAACCTTTTGCCTGGGCCTATTTTCCTTGAACTCTCAAGCCACTTTTGGACCAGAGTTGGGGAGCCTTCTGTATTGGTCACTGTTCTTCAGAAAAACAGAATCAATGGGATAAATATACATTTTAAAGAACAGATTAATTAATAAGAATTATCTTATATGATTGCATGTGGAGGAAGTCCCATAATAGGCTGTCTGCAAGCTAGAGAAATAGCTGAAAGACTCTGAAGCAAGAAAGTTGGTTCAGTTTCAATATGAGGCATAAAGAAACCCCTGGGAGGACATAGGTAAAAGTCCAGAGTCTGAAAGTTACAGATTTTGGAATATGTCTGGCTGGATAGAGGAATCAGAGGGAACAAAACAGCAAAGAGCTGAATAGAGAAGCAGGGTGAAGAAGGCAATGTATAGGCGTGGAATACATAGCGTGCTCTTGAATGAAGGTCTGGTGGAGGAGGAGGGGGAGAGAAAACATCACCTCACTTTCTCTGTCTCTTCCATGCTCCCAGCTGATTGGATAGGGCTTGCCCCAATGAATGTGTATCTCCTCTCAGCCCACTAGTTCACAGGCCCATCTTGTCTGGCAAAACTCTCACAGTTACCTAGAAACAATGTTTCACCAACTTTCTAGGCATCCTTCAGTCTAGTGAAGTTGATACCCAACATTAACCATCACTCTTTCCTGATTTTACAAATCAAATCTTCTAATAAGATTAATGCAGTTTTTAGTACCAACTCAGTGTGTGTTGGTGTCATCAGTCTTGCCATATGAACCAAATTTTGGGTGGGAATTCATTCAGAAGAGTGACCATCACAGTAGGTACTATTTTCTTTTCATAATTATAATATCTTGCAGGATAATACTTTAGAATGATGTAATTATCCTGTTCCTTGCCAAACATTTACTTTTGGGTTTAGCATTCATTTATGATTCTTATGTGAATGAATTATTAAAATAATGAATATAAATTATGGTATTCTAATTTTAACATTTCTTTTACATTTATTAGTTGACTTTTGACTGTAAAGAAGAGTTTCTGTTAGTTTATCTATGTATTTATTTACTTCAGTATAAACTTATAGATTCCTGTGATATTAAATACGTTACACTTTATTATTATCTTCATTTTGATATTTAAACTATCTCAAATTAGCCAGGCAAATCCCTTTCAAGCTGTCTTTGTGTCCTTTTGGCAAGTCCTCATCGTGTTGTTAATACTTCTTTACTTTCAGTACAATAAAATGTCCTAACATTCATTTCACTCTTGCTGTAGCCCTTGAGTCAGCTCTTTTTTTAAGGAACTTTAGTTAGGAATGATATTTAGAAGCCAAGATCTGGGTGCTGAGATAGCACTGCTTATAAACTTTCTTAGCAGACACAGTCAGGAAATAAATGTATTTATCTACATACACACAAACCCATTTGCATATCTATACATGCAAATATATAACTGTCTATAGATGATTATATTTTGCATCATATATAAATATATAACTATTACTCTGTAAATCTGTATTTTTCATTGGAATTGGATGTATGAATGCAAACAGAAGGTAGAAAAAAATTAGAGAATTTTTAAAAAGGTGGAAAAATGGAATTAAATTATGAATGTATTAAGGTACAAAAAGCTTTGAAATCCATGCATAAGCATAATTTATATATATATTTCTCATGAATTTTTTAAAGACCTAATCATATATAGATATAATACTCACATGTATGTTATATACATATATGTTAAAATTGCAAATATGTGTGTGCATAATTTACATTTACACCAGTACCTCAAATTACAATCTAAAAATCATGAAAATTATTTTAGCTATGTTGTTATGATGCCTTTTTTCTAATG